ATTCGCAGGTTCTCCATACTTCCACCAAGACTGCGACCTAATAAAGCTGTTTTGAACTCTTTTACGCCTTTTAACGAATTAAAATTATGCCTGTAAAGCCTCAAAGCTCAAGAAAATTTCAGTTCGGTGAAACACTCCGCATTTTTGGTGTTTGACAGCAGTAAGAATTATGCAAAGCATTAGAGAAATGAAAAAATTCTACTAAGATGATAGTAACCAAGCACAGCACAAACAGAAGCTGCGAAAGATATCAAAAGTGAGACTTCAGACAGACTTACCATCGTCGGAAGTTCCGAGGAAGAAGTGATTGGCGGATGGATTGCCTGGACAGTCTTTTGCGACAAATTCGCTACACTTCTTATGGCAATTGTATTTACAATCTACAAATGAAACATTGTAATTTAGAGGGCACATATCATCAGTAATAATACAAAAAAGCACAGCACAAGTTTCATAAAAAAGTTCAAAAATTATGGAAGCATTTGGAGCTGATGTTGTTCAGATTCCAGATTTTGTAGAGGAATCTTTTTGTGAAAAAAAAACATCACAAAAACTTCGAAAAACTTATATTTTATGACGAAAAAAGGGCAACAAGTGACTCACCCCTACACTGTATCCCTTGCCTTATGATTCCCTTGAGAAGCTTTTTGCAGTACTGACAGACAGTCGGTCGCTTATAGCTATGGACTTGGAATGTGTGTGGCACCTAAAAAGGAAATTTTTTCCAACAAATATGTTACAAAGATGCATATCGTCCGCAAAAAATCACTAAAAATGGAATCAAATCTTCTCGAGATATTAATGCATACCTTGACTCTCGTAGCCTCAGCCACCTCCATCCATAACGGTCTTCCACTCCACGAACAACTGCGATCTTTTCGCGGCATTTGGAGAAACTGAATTGAGAAATTAGGTCTAAGAGCTCAATTTCGTGACTCAATACTTCTGAATCAGAAATGAGACATAAAAAATACGAATATTTGAAAAAATTTGTTGCTTACATTGCCACCAACAGCATCTCCACAGTCATCGGCCGTAATATAGATATCGGGGGCCAGCTGAGCCGTCCCCATGGTGGAGGCTGGACGAGCGGCATCAAGAGCATCCAAACAGGATTCACGACGGGATTGCTAGAAAATAACACGGATAAAGGAAGGAATTTTTGAACATCAGAAGGCAGTAGGGCGATCTTGTGGACCTGGACTCCCCATGTGAAAATTGGCTGACGGGCCCTAGCCAAGCATTTGACCAAGAAGCAGCTTCAGTGAATGAATCGTAAACGAGAAATGCAAGTCTGAAGCTCCGCCCAGTACCGCATTCTCTACCATGCCCGGGATATATTACGGTACTGGGCGAGAACTTAGCGTTGAATTTCTTGGCTATGCAGAAATCATAAGCTATAGCTCTGGCAATGTCAGGAAATTTTGAATTGATTTTCACATATAGCTGAATATCCAGATTTATCCGGACAGTATCCATATTTATCCGGACACTCTTTAAAGAAAAATCTGAAATTTTCTTACCCTTCTATCGCCCAAGCTGAGAACATTCGAGGTGGATGGGGATAACGGGATTGCACTAGGTCTTCTTTGTCGAGATCCATTACAGTTGTTCGGGATCTTGGATGCACATCTTTTATGGTAGTTGAGGCCGCATCCTAAAAAAAGGGTACTGTAGGTATACTGTAGGTAGTAACTGCGTAACCACTCAAAACTCTTGGAGCGGTTTTTTCTGATTCTTAGTTTTCC